GGCTAGATCTGCCAGTTTATCAAGAAGTTTGGTTGGAATTGGTTTTGAGAAGGTAGCTTCATTTCCAGAGTCAAGTTCAAAGATTGAGGGGTCAATATCTAAAGTAGGTGTATCCATTTCTTTTGGGTATTCTTTATAGGATTTGGTTAACAAATGCTTAAAAAGTTGAGAAATATCATGTTTATGGTTTTCCTGAACAAAGTTGCAGTTTTTATTTTTGCAAGTTAGAATATGGAAGTTAAGGTGCTTAAAGCATTCATCATGGCAGTCCTCATATCAAGTGGGTTTTTGAAAAGTGTCAAGTACAGAAGGGAGGTATTGTTTGAGTTGAAGAATATAGGCTCTTCGGATTTTGGATTTCAGTGTATTACAAGTCTCTTCTTTGTTTAATGGATCTTTAAACTGATGTTTATAAATAGAGAAGAATTCATCGAACTATTTGTTAAAATGGTCTAAAGAGTTTTGGAGGAAGAGATGGAAAAGTTTTTAAGAAAGAGAGTGACTGGTAAGTTGAGAAGTAGGTTAATATTAAATTTATCATCTGATTTAATAGTTAGGTATATTCTGTTTTTGTCAGTGCTAACAACTTGAGGGATGAGTTTGTATGTTTTGCAATGGAGGTTAAGTGTTTCTGCAAATTTATTGTAGTTGATTGCTTGGTATTTGTCATGGAGGTAAAGATGTAGATGTGCCAGATTAAGGCAAAATTGTAGGCGATTTTTGGGTTTATATGGCGGAATAGTTGCAGGTGATGCAAAAATTTCTAAATAGTTAAGTTGAGTAAAAAAGATGGAGGTAAATTTTGTGATGATTTTTTTAAGAGTATCTTCTATTGTACTAAATGGAATAGTTGCTTGTTTGCTTATATCAGGATTGATTTGGTGATGTAGTTAATAAGGAAATCTGGTCTTTCTCCTGCTATACAACGAATAATATGATAGAAGCTAGCTTTAAGTTGTTGTTTGCCTTTTGTTGCTGTTTTGAGAATGGTACCTAGGTAGAAGTCATGAAGATGTTTTTTAAGAAAGTCATAAAGTTGTTGGGAGAAGGAAGTTTGGAGTTTATTGTTAGGTTCTATTTCTTTAGTTATTGGAAAATGAGCAAGCCAGTCAAAGGTTGGAGTAGGTTTGGGTTGTTTGGGAGTGGATTTGTTGGTAGAAGGGGAAGTACTAGTGTTAGTTTGGGTTTGGTTTTGCTGTACAATAGTAGAGTATGTTGTCTAAGTAGTAGGTTTGTTGGGTTTAGTTTTTGGATTTTGGAGGAGAGGTTCGGTTGTTGAGAGTATGTTCATTTGAGTTGTTTGAGAAGAATTATTATCAATTTCCATATTAAATGCAGTGGTTTGGGAGTTAGTAGCAGAAGTAGTATTGTTGGGTTCACTAATCAAGATAGTATTAGCTTTGTTGATAGTGGAAATTTCGTTATCGATTTCCATAGGGTGGATAACAGTTTGGGTAGGAGGAACTTGAGTGTCAACAGTAGGAGTAAGTGGTTTTAGAGTAGAGGAAAGAGAATTATGTGCTTGTTTTCCTTTGCTTAAAAGAGAGGATTCTAGAGATAGTTGGGTGTGTGGGGTTGGTGAGGTTTGCTAGTATTAGTATTGTTGTTTTTAGGAGAAACAGATAAAGGTAGTTTTGTAGAAGTAGTATTAGAAGTAGATGAACTAGTGGCTTCATTAGAAGAAGTGTCTTGTAGACTTTTGAAAGTG